CAACAAATAACTCTTCTCACTAAAGGTGCCCTCTTCCTGTGGAACCTTATGAACTTAACCAACTTCTATCCCAAGAAGCACCAGGAAAAGACATCTCCATACATCAACCCAACTCATCAGACCCCACAGTCAAAGCCTCTACTCATACCTTCTAGAGTTCCTAGTAACCCTGGCTCATTCAGAGCCTGTCTTCACATTGCATATTCTAGCTATGTGATCTTAAGCAACCACAGAATCACTTACATAATCCAAGGGCACAGTTTCTTCATCTCTAAAATACAAAGTTTGGGCTGAGAGTGTCCTCTCAGGCATAAACACCTATGATTCTAATCCAGGTTGGGGCACAGGTCTGCTCTTGGTTAGAGCTTCCATTTCTAAAGCATCAAGTCAAGGGACCTAATTAAGGACTGAACCAGGTCAACTCATTTGCTGTAGGTCTCCAAGGCAGAAAAGGTCAGATGCCAATACTCAGGGCTTGGGAATCTGGGGCAATGGGGCTCCAGCTCTGTTGGACTATGGCTAGATGATATTCATTAATTACTACCTGAATACTCCCTTAAAGCACTGGGTACTGGTGGATGCACAACCTTTGAACCAAATGTTGTTTTCAACCTTGTACCATCTGAAACAACTCAAATCTTTCAATCCTCAAGAAAACTCGCCCATCTAAATATCACACAGACAGCAGAAGCAAGAACAGAAAGACCCAAATCACTGAAGAGAGCCAACAGGATCCCAACACAAAGGGGGGTATATTTTACTCACAGAAGCAACTTGGAAGCCTTTTGCCAGCTGTTCTTTCCCCTTATTTGTATGAGTATGGTTAGTTTTTCAGAAGAGTAGATTGCATTTTCTGCCCATTGTCCCAACTCTTGTCTCATTCCACATGGTCTTCTAAAATGCTTTCATCCTAGTCTGCCACCAAGAAGTGGAATCCAACTCACCTCACTTGAATGTGGGGCGGGCCTGGAATTCACATGACCAATAGAATGCAACTGAAGTGATACTGTGAACTCTAAAGCTAGCCCAGAAAACCACGCACAGGTGCCACTGGTTTCCTTAGAAGTTTGACTCCAGGAAAAACCAGTCACCATGGAAACAGTCTGACTATGCTGAGACCACCTTGCCAAGGGGGCCTGGTTGAGCTGGACCAGTCTCCAGGACTCCCCTCAAAGGCAACAGCCATGACAGAAAAGCCACCTTAAAATCTCCAGATGATTCCATTCACTGGTTGAGAACCACAGCCACTGTTTGAACAACACCAGTCCTCATAGTACAGAGGAATTGTCTAGCTCTTCATGGATGGGATGTGTAAATTAACAATTGTTTTAAACAACTACATTTCAGGGTAATTTTTCATGCAGCAAGAGGTGAATAGAATGTTGAATCAAAAACAGATTTGAGGAACTAGGAATGTAGCTCAGTAGTGGACCATGTACAGGAAGGAAGGGAGGAAGGGAGGGAGGGAGGGAGGAAGGAAGGAAGGAAGGAAGGAAGGAAGGAAGGAAGGAAGGAAGGAAGGAAGGAAGGAAGGAAGGAAGGAAGGAACGAAGGAACGAAGGAAGGAAGGAAGGGAGAGAGAGAGGGAGGAAGGAAGGAAGGAAGGAAGGAAGGAAGGAAGGAAGGAAGGAAGGAAGGAAGGAAGGAAGGAAGGAAGGAAGGAAGAGAGGAAGGGAGGAAGGGAGGGAGGGAGGGAAGGAGGGAAGGGAGGGAGAGAGGGAGAGAGGGAGGGAGGGAAGAGAGGGAGGGAGGAAAAAAGAAATTAGATGTAGCAAATTATAAAAATAGAGGGCTGATAGAAGAAAGCACACACCAAGACCAATGGTAGCTGATGCTCAGAAACAAAGGAGACAGAAAAATGATTTAGACATATGCAAGAACCAAAGACTATAACCATCTGACACCTTGAAAAGCAGACACAAGTATTTGCCTGTGTTTCTGTGGCCTGCCTCCAAAAGGCCTCTAAAAGCTATCATACGAAATACCTGAAGGAATTAATAGCTGGCATCCTTGAATCACAAAGAACACTTCAAATTTTGTTCAAAATCCTCTTTCTCTAGTATGGGACCTGCATAGTAGTAATATTGTCATTGCCTCTCAGTGTATTTCTCTTCTTGCAACATTCTTCCAGAATGTTCTGCTACAAAGGCCTCAGAAAAGGGGAAGCACAGAGTCCTGCTCACAAAGGAGGGAAGGAAGTGGGTAGGACATGGAAGAAATTCTTTCCTAGTAGGAAAGAGAAGTAGAAAAAAGTGGGGGAGGGCCTTAGAGGTCAGCGTGAATGGACAGAAGCTCCAAGAGGAAGCAGGTAGGTGGGCCCAGTTTTTCTAGGTTTAAAACCTGAAAGCCAAGAGACAAAAGGTTTTAAGGTAAAGGGTGGTACTAAAAGCAGAGGAACTTTTGCTCCATGAAAATAGTCACACATCCCCACTTCATTCAAGGGGAAAGGATTATACAACAGGATGAATCAGTGGAAGTCATACTAGGATTCTGCCTGTCACACTCATCTAAGGAAACATTCTGATGAATCTTAGCTGTAGCAATGTACCAGCCACCCAGAGCTTTATATTACCTTGTTCCTTGCTCTCAAATAAGACCTCATCATAAATTTTCTAAAGCCCTGTTCAAAGTATGGTCTGTGGGTCCGCAAAATGAACAATGATGGTGCAAAATGCAGGTTCCCAGACTCTGCTGTTGACCTAAGAAATAAGAACCATGTGCATATTGACAAGCCTCTCAGGGAATACAAGAAGCACTGATCTCAAAAGAACCTAGCTCCCAATAACTCCCCCATAGACCAAATCTCTCACCTCCAAAGGAAGTGATTCTCAAAATGTGGTCCCTGCACCAGCATCTCCAACATAACCTGAGAACCTTGTAGAGATGTGAGCCCCTGTACCCTGCCCATTTCTACTGAATCAGAAAAAATCAGTGTGGGCCCAGCAGTCAATTCTCTTGGGAGAGTTGGAGGTTAGTTGCTAGGGCTTGAACTTAACCTCTCATGCTTACTAGGCAGGTACTCTACCATACCACAGAGCTACATCTGTAGCCCTTTTGTGTGCTGGTTGTTTCTGAGATGTGGTCTTCCTTCCTGCCCAGGCTCAGGCCAGAACTGATCCTCCTATTTCTTTTAATGCCTCACCTTAGCTAAGATATCAGGCACATGCCACTATACCCAATTTCTTTCCATTGAGGCAGAATCTCACAGATTTTTCTGCCTAGCCTCACCTTCTCCTGGCCTCAGCTTCCCACATAACTAGAATGACAGGCACATGCCACTGCACACAGCTATGTCAACACATAGCAAAAAGGTCACCCTTTTTGCTAGACTGATCTCAAGCCATGATCTTCCTGATCTCAAGACATCCAAGAATGCCACTACACCCGACTCATTCTGCACTGTAATCAACCTGCCAGGAGATTCTGCTGCAGACTTAAATTTAAGGACCTGGGACCACCCTTACTGTCTTGAAGTGTCCCCACAAGTACAGTGGGTGACAGTAACATTAGAAGGTACCATGAACCTGCATCACTTGGACTACTTCGGCTGTTAGCTGACCTTGAAGACTGACTCTATCCTGGGGCATGGAAGGAGTGATGATTGGGTTCTGTGTGTATTTGGGATCACTTGGCTTTAGTTGTCAAATGTTGGGAGTGGGGATGCTGAGAGGAAGTTGTGCTGGCAGGGCCAGGAAGGGGGCTCCAGGACAACTGCAACACATAGGACAGAGATTATCCTCATCGCTCAGCCTTGACCTATCCTTCCTTCTTGCCTCCAAATCACCAGGCTTTGTATGACAATTATGAAAGGTGTTCCTTTCTGTGCTTTGCATGCTGGGGCACTGCTCTGAGCTGGGGGGAAGCAAGTCCACCACAGACTTTGTGGGAAGGCAGAGCTGGGGGAAATGGGCCAGGGGAAAGAGTGAGTTCGGTGGGAGGTAAAAAGGAACATAGAGAGAAAGAGATTCCAGCATCATCCTGCCACAGACAGGGAGTTCTGGGAGGGAAAGGGAAGGGCAGTCCACTCCCCTGCCTCAGTTTACTGAAACTGAGGAGGAAGTGAAACTGGAAGAGGAAGAGTTTTGACCAAGATCACACCATGTGGGGAGGCTGACCTGGAGGCTAGGAGTAGAGAGAGTCTGGAGCCTCAAACAGAGTGCAAACCTCTAAAACGAAGAGAAGGGACTTCAACGCGTAAGAGCAAATGTGGACAAAGTCCCTCTTTGCACCACCCAAGACCCTAAGTACCTTCCGTTATTAGGGTTCATTGGCTGTGATGAGAAGATGGGGGAAGTGAGCACCAAGAGTTGCTCACAAATTGTGCAACCTCACCCAACCTGAAAGAAGCAACACTGAACTTTGAACCTGGGCTACTTACGCTCAAGGACACATACATGGACAATGCTGTCCACAATGCTTCTCTCCTAGACAACCATGAGCATGCTGCTCAGTCAGGGCTGAGGGCTCAGCTGTTAGGACAGGGTGAGATCCTTGCAAAATACAAACATTTCACATTGGTAACATCCCCAGAGCCTTCCAAGGAAGAAAACCTCTATCTTGGAGGTGGACGAATGAGGTGGACACCCATCCATCTCCTCAAGTTGGATTGCACATTTTCATCTGTCACTGAAGCCCTCTGATCTAGCCCCTTTGGGGGACAGAGAAGCTCAGAAAAGTCCAGTGATACTTAAGGTCAGATCATAACAAGGTCACTGATGAGTTAGGTCTCCCAAATGAGACACATCTGGGGTCCTGAGAAATGAAGAAAGTCACCTGGGTGGTGGACAAAGATGTTCTGATTCCTCTCTCTCTCTCTCTCTCTCTCCCTCCCTCCCTACCTCCCCCCTCTCTCCTCTCCCTCTCTTACCTGCAGCTCTGCATTCTTGTACCTTGTTCCCTCAGATATTCTGATTCCTTTCTCTCTCTCTCCCCCTCTCTTTCTCTCTCTTTCTCCTTTCCTCCTCTCTTTTCCTCGCTTTCCTCTCTTCTCCCTCTCTTACCTGCAGCTCTGCATTCTTGAACCTTGTTGCTTCTTGCCTAGGGAAAGCTGCCAGGCCAGACTTTCACCTTCAGTGGAGGCTCAGCGGTCCCTGCTGGGATTTATATACCCTCTTATGTGCCGGGATTTCCTAACCAGGCTATGTCACTCACTCCAACGGAGTGGCATGGACACACCTTTTTCTCCGCATAGGGGAGCACCCCAGCCTTTGGTGGTGTTTATGTACGTGATCACCAGATGGGGAAGTGGCCAAGGAAACTCTGCGTAAGTTTCCCTATTTTTTTGTGACTCGCTGGAAATTACACATTTCCAGCTGAGAGGTGGTTTGACAGTGATGTTGATTGGTTGGATGCTGGTTAGCAACCTAACCAAGACTCCATTAAAGAGAACACAGGGTCTTTAATGACTGTGACAGATGGTCCCCAGGCCTACCGCCTAGTCTGAGGTCTGAGAGCTCAGAAAGGAAAAGCTTTATGGGTTTGTTTTTAGGAGCTTTTCCTTCCTCTTAGATGATATTTCATTGTTAGGTGATGGAAGGGGTCAATTTCCTAGTGATTTCTCCCAGCTTGTGGAATTTGTTTATGTAGCTGCTGTTCTGACAGTAGAAACCTGGCACTAAATCATACATGTGCATAAAACCAATGTCTAACAACCAACTCTCACAGGCCCAAAGGTGCTGTTGTTGCTTATCTCCCACACAAGGTACCTTCCTGAAATCAGAGAGACAACAGGGTCGCAGGAGGATGATTCTGACCTGCAGCTTCCCTGGAAGTGTGCCCTCAGGGACCCCCACCACCCCTGGAAGCTCACACCAAGCACAAGGCCAACTTCAGTCCTGTCCTTCAAGACCAATCAATCCCACTCAGGAACTTAAATCTTCACTCATCACCCAATACAAGACTTCAAAGACAAACATGATGGCTCAGAGCCCTCTTGCTATCAACAGGAAGCCAAGTGGGAGGGGCTAAACTCAAGGGCTGAGACCTTCCGGTGTTCAGAGTCCCCAGAGTCCCCTGTTTATACGTTGGGCAGTGTCACATAGTTTAAGCAGATGTGACTTGAAGAGCCTCAATTGGTGGGTTAAAAAAGAACATTTTTCAAAGTGTAATTTCAAATCCATGTTATTAACTTTGATGACACTTTCTGGTTTATGCAGATCTTTCTATTCTTTTTCTCTTTTGCTAGTCCTAGAGCTTGAACTCAAGGTTTGGGCACTGTCCCTGAGCTTCTTTTGCTCAAAGTTAGCACTCTACCACTTGAGCCACAGCACCACTTCTGGATTTTCTGTATGTTGTACTGAGGAACTGAACCCAGGATTTCATGTATGCTAGGCAAGCACTCTACCACTAAGCCACATTCCCAGCCCCAGATCTTTCTATTCTTACAGGTCAATAAGTAGATCCAGAAAACTTTCTAGAGAAAGCTTAGGAAATCCATACCCAGAACAAAAATCTGAAAGGGCCATCAGCTCTACCCTTTTGCGACTACATTTTGGAAGTCAAAATTCAGATTGAATAAATATTAGATGGAAATTTAGAGAAAATCAAATCCATCCTCCAACTGTTTTTTGTTTTGTTTTGTTTTGTTTGTTTGGGGTTTTTATTTGTTTGCTTGCTTGTTATTTGTTTAGGCTTTATGTGCATGTGTATCTGTCTGTGTCTGTGTATGTTTTGTGCCTGTACTGAGGCTTGAACTCAGAGTCAGGGTGCTCTCCCTTAGCTTTTTCTGGTCAAGGCTAGAGTGTTACCACTTGAACTACACCCTCACTTCTAGCTTTTTCTTGGTTCATTGGAGATAAGAGTCTCACAGACTTTGCTGCCTGGATTGTTCATATTTTAGCCTCCTGAGTAGCTAGGATTACAGTTGTGAACCACCAACATCTGGCCCATGCTCTAGTTTTAAAAGAAAACTGAGTTTCAGCATTGAGGGGCCACAAGTGAGTGAGCAGAGCCCATTTAAAGGTATACTTAGCTCCATGACGGGTAGTGAACTTACAGAATTTAGGACTTCTCCAAAGTGGAGCTTGTTGGGCAAGGTCTGTTATACTCATGTCTATTCTTTTCCCAAAGACCTATAAGGGGATGAAGGTATTACCTGGTTTTGTTCCATAATTTTGGCATGGTAAGTTGGAAGAGGGTGCTATAAATTTGAGGTCAATCCAGTGGTGAGAATTTATCCTACTAGGAATATCCCTAGACACCATCATCCTCACAGAATAAGTAAACATGCAATAACTGAGTCTCCTTTTAAATTAACCAAACCCGTCACTCTCAATTGGCCTGCCTGGCTTGAAGAGTCTATTTACTAAATAATACAGTCATCATACAACTGCTGAGAGCCATGAAGGAAAGGCAGTATCACATAACCTGCCTGTAACCATGCTGAAGTATACTACTGTTCTTGTGATCTTTATAAAGAGAAATGACATACCCTTTTGTCCTTGGGCAAAGTTGATAATATAGTCACAAGGATTGCAAAATAGTCCTTCCAAGGATTAATACTCACTGGGCCAGGCACTGGTGGCTCATGCTTACAATTCTATCTACTCAGACAGCTGAGATTTAAGGATTATGGTTCAAAGCCAGGCCTGGAAGGAACATCCATGATACTCTTATCTCCAATTAACCACTAGAAAACTGGAAGTGGTGCTGTGGATCAAGTGGTAGAGTGCTAATTTTGAGCTGAAGCACTCAGGCCCAGTGTTCAAGACCCACAGCTTGGTGCAGGTGGCTTGTGCCTATAATCATATCTCAGGAGGCTAAGATCTTGAGACCATAGTTCACAAAAACAGCCCAGGTAGAAAATCCATGAAATTTTCATCTCTAATAAACTATTCAAAAAAAAAAGGAAAAAAATGGAAATGTAGGTGTGGCTCAAGTGGTAGCTTCAAGCAAAAGAACTAGGGGTCAATATCCAGGCCCTGAGTTCAAGCCCCAGTATAGACACAAAAAAGAAAGGAAGAGGAGGAAGAGGAGGAGGAGGAAGGGGAAGAAGAGGAAGAGGGGGAAGGGGGGGAGGAGGAGGAGGAAGAAGAGGAGGAGGAGGAAGAGGAGGAGGAGGAGGAAGAGTTAACATTCAAAACAGTCTCCCAAGATTAAATCCCAAGGCTGCTATAGCACCCATGGGACAATGGCTGCTTTCCTTGTATCCCTTCATCCTCCACTCATGATACCACCATCAGCAACACATGCAGCTCAGCTTCTCCACCAGCTGATAGGAAGTGCACGTACTACAGCATCTTGAAATCCTCTGAGGTTTGAGGTAAACGTCACCCAGGATACCCTTGCAAGAACTGACACAATGATTCTTCATTTTTAGACCAAAGGGAGCCTTCCCAAAGTCTTGCTCGGAGATTAGTAGCATCCTTTGAAATTCTGTGCCGGCCCCCCTCCCTCACCTTCTGTTTTCTTGCAATGTGCAGGCCACAGGGAGGAGGAGGAAGATGAGAAAGAAGAGTATGTCAGCCACTACATCATGTGAGGGAACAGCTTCACATCCAAATACTCTGGCATTATCCTCGCAATTCACTTCTGCTTATCAGATCAGAATTCCATCATTTTCATACAAAACTAGCCACTGACCCCCTAGGATAAATTGTACAATAAGATCTCATAGAATTGAGAATTCTAGGGAGTAAACTGGTCAATTGTGCAATATCACACACACACACACCAAAATAAAACAAAACTTTAAAAACCCTCTAGATCTTATCCAGCGACATGAGAAAAGCCATTCCCTATAGACAGTAACTTAGAAATTAATAAACTGAAAGTAACGACAGTGAGTACAGGGAGCTCCAGCTCTTCACCTGTTGAAAGAGAAGGAGGAAGCAACCGCTCTGGTCTGGCTTCCTGTTATTGCGTGTATGTCTCTCAGTCATGGGCACTGGCAGTCTAAGCAGGGTCTCAGAGGACTGAAATCAGGTTGCGGGCAAAGCTGTGTTCCTCCAAGGGGAGAGTCCTGGAGATTTTCTTATTCCTGCCTGTGGCATCCCCTTCTTCCTCCTCAGACCTTCTTGCCTTTCTTTTACAAGGACCCTAGGGATTATGTTTATGGTCCTCTCAGACAATCCAGGATAATCTCCTCTACTGGAAATCACTAGTTTAGTCCCATCTGCCAAGTCCCTTAGGCCATACTGGGTAGTGAGTTCCCAGCTTGTAGGGATTAGGATGTAAACATCTTTTGGTTCCATTCTTCTCCTTGCCATAAGTGCAAAGATTTCTTCTTTTCATTTGTTTCCTTCTCTCTACCTCGTGTTTCCAGGACAGATATTAGAAAAGGTTGTAACACTAATGAATGCCACCCCCTCTCCCTCCAGCTCACTCTCCCACAAGATTCCGCGCACTGATGACAGGGCATCTAGAAACCTGTCCTATTTCAATGCTTAGTGTCTCTCCCAGACACCAAGGCAAAAACCCAGCAATCCATACCCCTGTGTATTCTTCTACATGCTTAACCAAACCTTCCTTGTTTCTATAGCACTCTGGAGTCTTCAGATGGACTCCATCTTCTGTGACCTGAGTTCCGGTGTCTCCTTTGCAGTCGTCAGAAGCTAGTGAATTATTTGTGAATAGACCTCACAAAGCCATAATAAATGATGTATCTATTTGACAAAGTTTGGCCAGGAGAAGTTGTTACACGGGAAAAAATTAGAAGGATTATATAGTTGTTCTCAAATAATCCTTGGCTCCAAGGACCAGTAACCAGGAGGCTTTGGTCAGAGATCAAACAGGAAGTGGCAGTTGTCTTTCAGAAGTGTGTGTGTGTGTGTGTGTGTGTGTGTGTGTGTGTGTGTGTGTGTGTGTGTGTGTGTGTGGCTGTTATGCAAAGCTCTGGTTCTGGAAGGGTCTTTGTGATACTTCTCATACCAGACATGCATACATACATGAGATCCCCTCCTTCTTCACCTCCTTGCTTCAGTGGCTAATATTTTTGTTGTTATGGTTTGGCAAAAGAGACTCTATTTTGATTTAGTAACTAACACGTGGAACGGAAGCCTCTGTTTCTGGGCCTGGTCTCTCAGCTGCTGGACCTTTCTAGTAGGAAACTCCTATAAGCTGACCTCAGAGGGCATTGACAAAGCCATTCACTGAAGTGGACCCACACTCTTTGACCTGG